GACAGAAAATGTGGTCTAATGGGTGACTACCCAGGATCCAGCTATGATCTCTGGATTTCAGAACAAAGGGGAGGAGAGGGGCCTGGAGAAACACCCTCCACTGGGGCCTGTTTCCTCTTCTTTGAATTGTGGACATCTGGATTAGGTAAGATCCAAGCTCTGTGCGAGCTCTGACACTGATATTCTAGGTATCTAAGAAAATAAAAATTGTGAGTGCCTTTGGCTTCCTCCATCCAAGCCGGGATGAAACACCACCGTGCTGGGACATCTGGCTACTCAAGAGGGATACCCAGAAACTCCTTTTTAAGAAAGTGAAGATTAGTCCTTAAAATAAGGATCCCAGAGGGAAGTACTCTGATGTCCCTTCAGAGGGACCTGCCTAATCTAATTGATGGTAATTCTATTTCTTAGAGAGGAGACTTGTGCCCTTTCTTAATTAAGCTGTTTCTCTTCTTATCAGTGGATCATGCAACTTTGCCTTCATTGCTATTTCTAAACTTAGATCCTTTGAGTCGTCATATGTCGTTGTTTCTTGATATCTGCTAAGGGCTAGTTTGAAGACCCTGCACATGTACCCAATCCATGGATGCTCCAGTACCGTATATAAAACGGCACAGAACTTGCACATAACCTATGCATATCCTTCCATAGACTTTAAATTATCTCTAGATTACTTATAATACAACAATGTAAATGTTATGTAAATAGCATTTATGTAAACATTACACTGTAATGTTACGGAATAAGAAAAAAATCTGTATGTGTTCAGTATAGACGCAACCAATTTTTCCTTTTTCCAAATCTTTTCTCTTGTTTTTTATTTCCCTTTTTTTTCTTTTCTTTTCTCTTTTTCTTTCCATAGGGTGCAAGTCTTTCAGAGAGAGACACTGAGAAAGAAAGAGAGAGAGGAGAGAGGGAATGTGAGAAATCATCCCTTGGGAGGAGGGGTGGGCATAGCCATGCTCCGATTCCTTCTCCTCCATTCTCCTCTCATGATTTTGGGCACGCATACACATGTGTCAAGCATGAATTTTAAGCCATCGGGTCTGGGACTCAAATTGCATAATCAGCCAATGTGGTATCCAGTGCCTTAATCTCCATACCACCTCTGGTCCAATATTTTCAACCTATTGTTGGCTGAATCCACAGATAAAGAACCTACAACTATCAAGACAAACTATAACCTGAAAACTTGGCTTAGAGGTCATTCAGGCTATTCCTTCATATTAAGATGGTGATTTACATTGCCTGATTTTTTGAATAATGAACAAGTCTTGCATTCCTGAGATTAAACCTCACTTACTTGTGACATATTATCTTTAATATGTATGGTTTGATTTTTTTAGATTAATTTAATTTTATTAATTATAATAATTATTTTTTAATTTGCTATAGGGCACATGTGCTCTCTAGAGAAAGAGACAGAGACAGACAGAGAGAGAGAGAGAGAGAGAAAGGGAGAAAATGAGAAAGCAACCCTCCAAGTCTGGAACTCAAACCATGGTTGGCTATGTGGATAGTTCAACACTTGAACTACTGCACCCGCTGATGGCCCCTGGCTTGATGTTTTTACTTGCTAACATTCTGTTGAAGATTTTTATCCTATGTAAATGCATGAAGGATATTTATTTGTAGTTTTCTTTTTAAACGTCTTTGGTTTTGGTATTAGGGTAACATTAGCCTTATATGTTAGAAAGAGTTCTCCTCTTCTCTATTTAGGACATTGTGTAGAATTGGTATTATTTCTTCCTTAAATGTTTGGTAGAATTCACAAAGGAAACCATCTGCATCTGGAGTTTTCTTTGTTGGGAATTTATTTTTATAACTAAGATTAATATTTCTTCAGTAGGTAAAGGACAATTGACTAATTTTCTTCTGAAGTGGGTTTTAGGAGTTTATCTCTCTTAAGGACTTGACTCCTTTCAATTAAACTTAATTTATGGGCATAGAGTTGTTTATAGAAAATCTTTATTGTCCTTTTGATGCATGTGAGGTCTGTACTGATATCTCTTTTTCATTTCTGGTAACTTGTGTCTTCTCTTTGTTCTTAATCAGTCTGGCTAGAGTTTTATTGATTTTATTACTTTCTCCTCAAAGAACTAGCTTTTGGTTTCATTCATATTTCTCTATTGTTTATCTATTTCAATGTTACTGGTTTTAGCTCTTTATTACTTCCTTCTGTTCACTTTGGTTTAGTTTATTCTTCTTTCTCTAATTTCTTAAAGTGGAAGCCTACACTGATTATTCTTTCATGGAACATTCAAGCTATTCTATTGTACCTCCAGCAACCAAAAGCTCCATTTTTCTGGAGGCAGCTCTATCTATTTTTAAACTGATGCCAAGAAGGTTTGGTTTTCATATTAAGCCAAGGCTGCCTCCCAATAGTATCCACTCTAGATCTTTGTTTTGCTCTTTAGAGGATCACTAAATCTATTATTCAGCCAGTGTTTTCAGCCAACCTTTTGTTTCTCCTTTTCCCTTCAGGGCTGAGCATCTCATACAAGTTTTCTACACCTCTCTCCATTTCCTAGTCTTTGTTTCTCTTCTCAGCAAACAAAAATATTGTACCCAACCATACGAGGCCATAGCAATGGCTCTAACAAAGATTACCAAGGACTGTTTGTCACCAAGTTCAATGGATACTTTTCAGTCTTCATCATAAGTGGTGTTTCTAAAATATTAGGCACCATCCTCCTCAGTAACTATGACATTTTTTAATGTATTTTTTTATTTCCACCATTTTTCTTTCTTACTTTTTAGTATATTTGTAGGTTTTACTTATGATTATCCCTTAAATGTTGATTTTCGTTTTACCCTGTCCACCTAATTATCTCACCTACTTTTCCGACTTGGAACAATATTCCACAGCCTATGATCCAATGAGTCTGCATTTCCATCTAGACTTGGCTAGCTAACTCTTTACTGGATTTTCATACTTGGATATGCCACAGTGCAATGTTTCTAAGGTTGACCTTCTTCTCCTCTTATCCCTTGATGTTCCTTGCTCATAGAATGGCACAATCATCTCATTGGCACAATCCTAAAAGCTGAGGCTTATCTTTTCTCTCTTCTTCACCTCCCCAAGATCAGTTAGCACTTCTGTGCAGTTGAGTCTCATGTCTCTTGATTCTGTCCACATTTCTCCATACTGACCATCACAACACTATGAGTTCTTTAAAGGTA